CGTTCTGGCGAAATGGGGGGAGATTGTTGACACTTCAAACAAGCAAAGTGCACGAGGACAGCAGGTAGAGTCACTCGTTCAACATATTCTGCCTCCAAGTTGATCAAATATGTGTACTTTTGTTACAGTTAACAGTTAAACAACAGTGTCTAAAATACATGCTTTCTAAAGTGATTATTCGTTACTTTTAAGATTTAGTCTTAAGAAGAAAAACAAACATTCATTATACACAACATTGTAACAACAACAATAACATTCAATTCAACATTGAATTTCATAATGTGTGATTAATTAATTAATTTCTATTTCTATTTATTCTATTTCTATTTCTAATTTCTATTGACAGCACTACTAAAAACCTTGTGACAAGTAGCACCAAAAGTTATCCAGTCATCAAATCTGACTCCAATCATATTTGTGTCCAAAAAAAGACTTGCATGAAACATGAAATGCATCCATAAAATTGCAAAATAAATATTGTTAACTGACTTCATAAATCTTCTGCTTTCAAGCTTGGTTCCTGAGATGGGTTCATAGAACCCTCACCAACCAGTTGTATTACTGTTAGCGGAGGTTTTGATGCAAGTTGGAGGTTGAGCACAATTATCAATTTGCTTCTCTACACCAGTCTGACAACTTCTTTAAAACATACTAGTCCTGGGATGGCCGTTACTTTGAGAGATTTAGAGAAAAACAGACTGAAAAAACAGGTCCAAGTCCAGATACTAAAAACATTTAACTAGAAGGACTGACTGGAGCATCCATCCACTCGCTTCACTACACTTTTTGGTGTCTTGAATTAGAGCTCTGGGTGACAACTCCTCCCACTGAAAACTAATCAAATTGGGAGATCTTGTTTTTGCATTGAGGATCCAATATGTCCTTTTATTGACGCTCAATGAGGTGGTCTGAGCCGGTGTTTTTGTAGGTAAAAGGGAAACATCACAGATTAAAGTCCGTCTCCAACTTGTGATAATGATAATGAAATGAGTTGGTATTGTGCTATTTGACAGCTGATTCCTGGTATAACAATTGACCAATCACAGCCTTGTAGACGAGGTCGAGAATGGGCACCTCCACTGCCCACACACCTACTTCCAAAAGACTAATTATAGTTGTTGAGAGTTACCTAACTGAACTATAAAAAGACACATTTGATCATTTTGTATTGAACTTAACTGTATTAAAGTATTAAACTAAATTCAAGAGGATCACACTATGTTGACTAAGGGGTCAAATATACTCGTCAGTTTTTCTCCTCATGCATATTGAGCGTCTGTGGGATTATTGCTCAGTGTGAGCAGGACGTGACTAGTCATGAAACAGAAATAATGGGTTTGTCTCCTTTATTAAAGTCATGAAGCAGTAACGGGACACCTCCTGCCCCTGGCACTGTGCCAACGATCAATGGGCTCCAACACACCGCAGCCTGTTTTTGCAATGGTTGTCGTAGTACTTGATAATACATCACTTCCTCCTGCATTCAGATTTGGTAATACATCACGCTCCTCCTCTCGCCTTGGTTTCATAATGCATCCCTTCCTGGTTGGGATTTGTTGCAGTTCTACCCCCTTTGGGCTAAGCAGCTCTGGGTCCCATTAAGCCATTTCTCTGAGGGGTTGCATGGCTGTATCATTAACAAATCCCATCTAAAACTTGTTTCTTGATTTCTAATTGCAGAACATTAATTTATTTAATATTTAAGGGGATACATTACTTATTGAAACACAAGGTAAAGAAATGAAATGGAATTAAAACCAGCGCAAAAGGCCACCGTGAAGGAACTAATTTGCCGACCAATAATTTTGAGAGATGAAAATGAGGAGACTAAAAGTTTAAAATTGCTACTCTCCTTTGTCTGCATTGACTGTTCATTTTTACCATCTCACACATGTCAATACAAATACATTCAAGTCAAAACAGAGTGACAAAATGTTCTTTCCAAAATAAGTACATTACATCGATAAATGACAATGTGTTCACTCTAATGTAAATGGAGAAACAACTTCCGAGCGACTCTGGAGTTTCAGGGTCACATGTGCCAACTGGAAGCATTTTATTTTGAGTTTTCCATGATGATGGTGAAGAGGGTTATTTACTCATTTCATGTGTTGCTGTTTTTTGTGTCTGTTTTGCAGGGAAGGAAAGGCCTCTGTCTTTTCTAGTAGGGAGTGAAGCGACTGCACCCTCCTCTGTAAAGGCTAGCCTGCAACATCAAAGATGAAAAGCTCTGATCAGTATTCAACGTAGAACGTAAAGAATATTAATATTAAAATGTTAAAACTTCTCTCTTTCCTCCAAAGTAATGTTCCTCCCTTTTCCCCTCTTGTCTCGTGTTTAATTGGTGAACAAAGGAGATTGTGTCTGTATGTGCTGGTTGAATGGAGTCATTTTAATACTTGATCTAATTTAGCAAGTTTGCAATTAACGTCAATGTATTATTTCCTGTTTGTTCAAGGAGAGGCAGAAGACTGTTGAGACTAACACGGGACAACCGTCATGGCTATTCTAGCAACTATTTCAAACACACATTTGATTACGTGTGAAATGGACCACAGACTGGTGAGCTGAAAAAATCGTGCTGCTAGAGAGATAAAAAACACAACTGCTCCTGGAACCTTCCTGGATTCTTCTTTTACTGTATACACCGAAAACCACCAGGTAATCAAATATTTGTAAAGATAATGCATTACAATATCTTCCCTACAATACCTGGACCTGCGCAGTGTTGAAAACATGTGGCCCTTTCACTGGTGGTATTTTCAACATTTTGCTAGCTTTGGCTAACCTTCTGCTAACCCAGCACAGCCGTGTTCCACTCCCAACAGAGATAAGAAGGACGTGACATGGGCTTTTGTTCCAGACGCAGACGTCTTTTCCTGCCACAGCTGACAATGAAAGTAAGGGAGGCGTCTCGCTTCCTTCTCAACCCTCTTGCACATGTGCATCATGGATCAGGCTGGATATATGGATCGGCTAGCGGTGTGCATGTGTTGATCCTTTGTAGTCTGTCCTGATAATATCTGACAGCATATCAGATTGGGAAATATACCTGCATACACACCGATACCTGATCCAGCATCCAGGCGTCCAATGCAATGAGGGAAGAGCCAGTGATGACTGCCACTATAACAATAATATCATCAATGCCGTCAAACTAAAAATGAATTCCAACTTTCCATGATATTTGCAACCATGCCAGTTTGTCAAAAAACAGAAGATTGATGCAGCAGAACACAGTTACAACAGTTACAGAACAAGTTGCAATAAGGTAACTGAACGGTTGGTTTAAGGAGTAAATCTAAAAATCCTGGTTAAAATCCACTAAAGATGCTCATTGTTAGACTCTGGCCTCCTGCATGAAGGGCTGTCATGTGTAACGGAGTTAGAAATACACTGTCGTTTTCAATGTATTGTATCTTATTTTTGGTTATTATTCAACAATCTTGTTGAGTGTGTGTGTGAATTTTATTTTGATGAGTTAAATTTGTGGAAATTGCGATTCATCTCTTCTGCGCCTCCTTGGCTTCCGTGTTGCTCTGTTGAAGGTAAGTTGAGGGAAAAATGATGTCGCACTATTTCGCTATGTTCTTAGAAATATAACTGTTAACATCAGCAACCATTGCCGTGGGTAACATGACCACAGTTTTCAGCTGTGGTGCGTCATTATTTTAGACGATGAAAGTATACGTTTGGTCGTTTGTACTCACTACATCCGGTCGCCCTGACGTATACGTTCCCCTCTAGAGACCCTGTGTGTAGGGAGCTGATGTGCGGAGACCAGAAGGCAATGTCAGTGTTTTATTGTCTGTTAAAATATCAGTACCTGAGTCGGCTACTTCCATGCACTAAACACATCTGTTACACATGCTCCACCTGCTCCACCAGCCAACCTCCATAGACTTACTTTCCAGCTGGCTGCATAGAGGAGACACTAATTCCTGCATTGACAATGCATGCTAGCAAAAGTCCAATGCAAACCAGATTTACTGAATATTTGGGGGGATTTCAGACAAATGTCAGCGCTGTATTCAGCCATCTCATTCATACCGCCAAGGCCCCGTTTATGAAAAATCACCTGGTAACTGTATCATGACACCAACTCAAGTCAAGTCAGAGACTTTGTGAGCAAGTCCTGGCTACGTATTGTACATCAACACATCTGACAACATGAGTCTGCCTACCTAGTCCACAAGGTGACATCCTGTATACGGCCCAAACTCACAGCACCTCAAAGAATCAAACTGAACCAATATTTCCAAAATAGAACTTCAGGGAAGGCAAGATAAGGATTTATGTGAATCTGAAATGATTCTCATCTACAGGAAAAGTGTTTATCCAACCGAAAAGTCTGCCGTGTCATGTCTTTATTTCATTGAGAATTAGAAATACACACTGAACGTGAGGGGTCTGGATATGGAAGAGCGTGGTAAAAGGGAGGAGGAAATTTGAAGATAAAAGAGAAGAACGAGTAGAGTAATAAGGAGGCCACTGTTTTTAGTTGGTAAATGAAGAGGAAGAACATGTTATAATCAATGAAGGCTTTTAGCTAGCAGCTGCACTAGGGGAAGCCTGGGGCCGATTGGGGGTAAACAGAGGAGGTGGCGCTTTTGATCCCCGTCATCACAATCCCGTCTGCATTCATCTGATCTGTCCAAGAAGCTGCAACGAGCAGCAGAGAACTTTAATTCTCCTTCTACTGTTCCTCCTTTTGTGCTCCTACTTTAATCTCTCACGGCATGTTGAAGCATTTACTAGATGGTCGTTAATCTTTGGAGGAAACACCTACAAACAAAATAAATTGTGCTCTCAGTTTCACCCCCATCATCTTTTTATTCCTCTGTAAAGATTGTTTTTTCATCTTTGATGTTAGCTGCAAAGCTAGCTAAAAACAAACATTAACTATTGGTCGTACAACAAGGTATTAAAGAAAGAAGAGAGTGAGGATGCTTTACCTTTTCATCATTATATCAGATACAAGAAACTTGGATGAGACTCACCATAGTGCCCACGCTATATGTGGCTCCAGGACCAATGGTATGGTGGTATGGGTCTGCTGTTGCATAGACTCTGCCATAACTACACAGGAGAAAACAAGCACAAACAGAGTTTACTGTGACAACATAGTACAATACCTTAAGTCTGACAACTTCTCCAAGATGTTCACCAGACGACAAAACACAATCTATGGAAATACTGCAAACATCAGGGCTGGCATTGATCACGCCTGACAGTAAGTAGCTCAGCAGGTTTGAAATGAGTGTGGCCTTTTGAAGTGGTTCTTGCGTGGTCCGAGTGGCCAGACTAGGGGGTAACTTCTTTCTGCCCTAAATATTTTACCCCGAAATACGATTGTCAAAATGGTATTCACTGCTTTTTTGGAGTTGGAATAAATATTAAATATCAAGTAATTTGTTTTTTATACTGTAATTATTTTGCATTAAATCAATCTGGGATGTTTGCTGAAAGTGATTCGATTACCCTACCTGGAACATTTTCCACCAGCCGCAACTGGATGCAGTAGTATAAGCAGACAATGTTCAGAAGAATATGAACAGTCTGTCTCCCTCGTGTGACTCAAAGGTGTACTGCAGACATACATTACAGGTTATACATTTTGTTATTTGGGGGCCAAAATGAAATCTCCTGTGACCATCCTTTGGGTACTGACCCAGTGTTTGGGAAAAGATGTGGACTCCTTTTGACCGCTGGGTCTCCCACTTTGAATTGTGTGTGTGTGTTTAGGAACCTTTCAGGTACACACAGCAGCAACCAGCAGAATACTCATGGTAACATTGGTAGAAGTAGCCCCAGAAACAGAGTGACGCTGAGTGCGAAAAGTGGTCGGTGGAAGGTTCCTTTGTCAGAACGGCAGGTGGCGATGGTCAGTGGCAGGTTCCTTTGCCTTAACGGCCGGTTGCGTTTGCGGTGGTTGGTGGTCGGATCCTTTTTCAGAACAGCATAAGTTGATCACAGTTGGGTATTTAGCGACATGCAAATACCATGTAACGTTAAATGAAATCTTCGTACATGCTTTTCAAACTTTATTGACAATCTAGCAGATCTCAGCGACTTGCAAGTAGCGCAGCGTCTTAAATAAAGTGATGTGTGTCTTAATGCAAGGCTTTAGAAATGAATACAAAGGGATTCTATATTCATTAAGTCTGAAACGGGTCATTTGACCAATGTTTTGATAACCGACCGAAGCCAGCGGACAGAGAGCACCTGCGGACTGACTACTACCCCCCCACACCTCCGCACCCCCGGTCCGGCCAAACCGTTCGCTCGACCACCAGCCGTCACTAGGCTCTCGTTGTATTTATTTATTTCGATACATATGTCCCACTATTGTTTTAGCGTTGCCATGCCTCTCTGATTATCGCCATGTTCCCATCATCTGACCGGCAGCTCGCAGATCCTGTTGCCACCTTCCTATGATATGATCGGCAGGTCACATGATCTGTCGCCACCTTCCTATGATATGATCGGCAGGTCACATGATCTGTCGCCACCTTCCTATGATATGATCGGCAGGTCACATGATCTGTCGCCACCTTCCTATGATATGATCGGCAGGTCACATGATCTGTCGCCACCTTCCTATGATATGATCGGCAGGTCACATGATCTGTCGCCACCTTCCTATGATATGATCGGCATGTCGCTAAATCTGAAGACATTTTGACTTATTCCCCAAAACATAAAACCATATGGATTCATCTGAAGCAGTACAAATCAAAGGGGAATTTAATCAGTTGGGGAACACTTTGTTAATTGTTTCCTCCTTTACAAATTCCAACTACCAGATATAAACCTTATGTATGTTAGCTTTGATTGAATAGGTTTCATAATGGATAGGGAGTCTAAACCCACCACAATGAGTATGCATGAGACACATAAGGCATTGGGTCGTCGATTTTAACTGGGGTCCGGAGGAGAGATCTATAATCATTTCCTCCTCTCACTCACGCTAAGAACAGGCCTATGGGATGAAAATGCAATCGATGTGTCCCTATAAATGTACGTTGTAAAGGTGAGAGTGTGTGATTGCAATGATTTGTTTTACCCATTTCAATTTATGAGGAAAAGGGGACAAGTGTTTTATCTTCCACATGATGGGGAGTGGTGGCAATAAAAGTAACGTCAGCTGGAGAAAAAAAAAAGAGAACGAGAAAGATAAGAAAATAAACGGGCATAGTGATAAGAGTAGTAGATGGAGGAAGGGAGAAAGAAAAGTGATTATGAATGAAGAAAAAGATGATTTTGTGGTGTGGACACAGAGAATGATGGCACGGGGGGAAGCAAGTGTACGGTTGTAAAGAGAAAATATATCTGGAAGCAGAAAGCTGGAAGGAAAAAGGAAATGATTATGTTATATGTTAAATTGTAACGTTTAACATGTTTAGCTAACAGTTATCTGAGAGTGTTCCCCCTTCTATGCCATCTCCTTCACCTCCTTCTCTGCTCCTCTCCGGGCCCCCCGACTGCCATCTCAGCCTGCATCTCTGTCTGTCTCCTGGGGCTTATATTCTAGTCTTTTCAACAGCACTGGCTTGGAACTAATCCCCTCCCTCAACACTCCTCTCCTCTTTCATTCTACCCCTTCATCCCTCCTTCTCTGATGCCACCAGACCGCTTTATTTATATTCCTCTTTTCCTGTCTGGTTTGTTTATTCTCCTCGAGGAGTAAAGGGAGGCCACCGCAGGTCTGCAGGGCAGAGATAAGAGGCGGTGTTGCTACACTGTAAGTTTCACTGGGAGACCTGAGCAAAGGATGTTAGGGAAATGCACATGGGAGGAGGGAGAAGCAACGGTCTAGTGCTGCAAATGACCATTTTCATCAATAATCAATCGCTATCAAGGTTTGATCAGTCTTAGTCCAATCAGAGTTAGGAATCTGTTGCTCAATACACACAGACACCGGTCTATACGTTTTCCTTAGAATTGACGGGCATCCAGTGACTGTTGTCGGTCTGCATGGTTTTCATGGTATGGGTGGAAAGAGTAAAGTAGTAGTTTTGTTACAGTGGAACCCACAGCAGAGTGAAGTAAAGGCCGAACAACGCTGACTCCAGGCTGTTAAAGGCTCAAGAAGAGCAGATAGAAACAGGACATTTGATGGTCAATCCTGATTGCATTATGCCTCTTCCGACCTGGCTTGTTAAGCAATGGGGGGGCCCAACTGCCCTAGAGAGACAGAATAGAGGCAGACTCTCTCGCTCGCCACTCCATCCACTCTGAGTTGGGCCCCTTTCATCACCCGATGATTACAACTCAGTCTCTGCTACATCTCGGAGAAAAGGAAACGTGTAAAACATGGTGGAGATCGGCGTGCCGCTCACCTGCTGTGCTTCGCTACACTGTGTTCATAACCCTCCCAAGCCCTCCGCTCACTACCTGCTCCTGATAAATCTTACATTATCAGAGGCCTACAGGCTCCTGCTTGGCGGTTCCCTATCGGCCCTGACATGGTCAATCTCCGAGCAGACTGCAGGCTCCCAGAGGGCCGAGGACAGCTGCTCGGAGCGGCACCAGGCCCTGGAGGTGAGGGGGGCGCATGACAACTGAAAGATGGAGTGGATGCCACTGCCTCACGTACTCCCCTCCACGCCCCCCGTGGCAGGATGTTAAATCGTCTTTCTGCTCATCATCTGTCTCGGTGAGCCACCGTGGAGATTGGAGGGCAGCACACAACGTGACAACATCTACCCCTGTGGGCTCACAAGGCCACATGAAAGGAGCTCCAGGTTGCAGCAGACGGAGCGTGTTAACCGAGGGAGCTGCTCGGGCTCACAGAGTACCGACCAATCACACGTCCTTTCTCATTCCAGCATGCGGGCGGAGTGACCCTGTACTAGTTTAGCATAAATAGTGAGAGATACATTTTTATTGATCAAACCTATATGGTCATTTTGGGTTTAAAACCAGATCATATGGTTAAGAGTTTGGAAAATGATAAATTGAAAACAACATATTCTCCAATTTAGACCAGTGAATATTTTTTATATTCTAAAAACTTTTCACACTGGAGGAGGAAAGAATAATAATGATCTGCTCTGTGCTGCTCTGTCAGGGAAGAAAGGAGTAATAAAGGGAAGGAGTGTGACGACTTGGTTAGGGTTACACAACCCTATTGTGAATGTATTCATGACAACACCTTCCTGCACTACTTTATGATGTGCTTCTGTTTTAAAGATATTAAGATAATGGCAGAAACTGGGGATTCAAATATATAGAGCCATTTGACTTATTTAATACATTACGGTTGTTACAAACAATTCTTTCGACTGAGCCTCCGTCCATCTTAACTTGTGTGTTTTTCTCCAGGTGCAGGATATAAAATGACCCTGGTTATTTACCTGCAGTGCTGTGGAAACGGAAGAAGGCCGTCCACATACCTGTCACTGTATGCAGCTGCAGCAGTAGCAGCCGGCTGGGCGTATCTGTAGGCTGCGTACCCTCCCTACGGAGAGACAGAGCAATTCATTACCACCTCACAGCCACATCCACAAGACGATCAGGGAAAATACATGTAAATAGTTTTAAACTTACATATATTTCTGCTCCATAAAAGCCGTCCTGGTACAGCACACTGTGGATAACACAAGACATGTTTTAGCATTGAAATTAACGGAGGGTGGTACGGTGCTTTACTTAAGAACCCTAAAAGGTACAAGAGGAAACATTCAGTGTTTCTAGAGCACAAAACGCCCTTTAGATAAACTCTCTCTCTCTTTTTACTGCAGCAGGTTCTGACAAACTGTGTCGGTGTCAACTCCAACCAGAGCAGCGAGGACAAGCTCTGGTCCTGCAGACGAGACGGGCCTCCGCCCACCGGACTAACGGAGGCCCCGTTGTGGTCTGAGTGAGGCAGTTTGTGGTGAACCTGCACAGTTAGCGTCTGTTTTGGGGCTAAATCCAACCGGGAGGCACCAACGACATTACGAGTTACTGCTGTGGGTAAGAGTCTGCTCTCTGATGGTCTGGTTTACTGATGACGGTCATGTAGGGGCGTCAGTGATACACACACAAGGTTTCATTATACAACTAAATGTTCTCGCAGTAACTGTTAAGACAACTTCTTCTCTCTTCTGACATTATGTTGGAAATTAAATCTGCCAAAATGCAACGTGCAGGCGATTGAGTTGAGGTGTAGGATCCTTGCTGGAGTCCATCAGCGACGTCATAGACAACGACGTCATAGACAACGACGTCATAGACAACGACGTCATAGACAACGACGTCATAGACAGCGGATTAGTGCAGAGGTCCTAGTACATCCTCCAACAGTTTCCTACACGTGTGCATGTCAACGTGTGAGCTGAGCATGCACTAGAACAGGGGTGGGCAAACTACGGCCCGCGGGCTGGACCCGGCCGTTGGGCGTTTTGATCCGGCCTGCCGA